CTGACCAAGGAAGTGAAAGATCTACTTGACAAGAACTATAAGTCTTTGAAGAAAGAAATTGAAGAAGACACCAGAAAATGGAAAGACCTCCCTTGCTCTTGGATTGGGAGGATCAACATAGTAAAAATGGCAATTCTACCAAAAGCAATCTATAGATTCAATGCAATCCCCATCAAAATCCCATCAAAATTCTTCACAGATCTGGAGAAGACAATAATTAACTTTATATGGAAAAACAAAAAACCCAGGATAGCCAAAACAATCTTATACAATAAAGGATTGTCTGGAGGCATTACCATCCCTGACTTCAAACTCTATTACAGAGCTACAGTATTGAAAACAGCTTGGTATTGGCATAAAAACAGAGAAGTCGACCAATGGAATCGAATAGAAGACCCTGACATTAACCCACAAACCTATGAACACCTGATCTTCGATAAAGGAGCTAAAAGTATACAATGGAAAAAAGAGAGCATCTTCAACAAATGGTGCTGGCAAAACTGGATGTCAATCTGTAGACGAATGAAAATAGATCCATATCTATCACCATGCACAAAACTCAAATCCAAATGGATTAAAGACCTCAATATCAGTCCGAACACACTGAACCTGATAGAAGAGAAAGTGGGAAGTACTTTACAGCAAATGGGCACAGGAGACCACTTCCTATGTATAACCCCAGCAGCACAGACACTAAGGGCATCATTGAATAAATGGGACTTCCTGAGGCTGAGAAGCTTCTGTAAAGCAAAGGACACTGTCACTAAGACAAAAAGACAACCCACTGACTGGGAGAAGATCTTCACCAACCCTGCAACTGACAAAGGTTTGATCTCCAAAATATATAAAGAACTCAAGAAACTAGACCGTAAAAGGCTAATCAACCCAATTATAAAATGGGGCACTGAGCTGAACAGAGAATTCTCAACAGAAGAAGTTCAAATGGCCAAAAGATACTTAAGGTCATGCTCAACTTCCTTAGCGATCAGGGAAATGCAAATCAAGACAACTTTAAGATACCACCTTACACCTGTCAGAATGGCTAAAATAAAAAACACCAATGATAGCCTTTGCTGGAGAGGTTGTGGAGAAAGGGGTACAATCACCCATTGCTGGTGGGAATGCAAACTTGTGCAACCACTCTGGAAAGCAGTGTTTCGGTTTCTCAGGAAATTCGGGATCAACCTACCCCTGGATCCAGCAATACCACTCTTGGGAATATACCCAAGAGAGGCCCTATCATACAACAAAAGTATATGCTCAACTATGTTCATGGCAGCATTGTTTGTAATAGCCAGAACCTGGAAACAACCTAGATGCCCTTCAACGGAAGAATGGATGAAGAAAGTATGGAATATATACATATTAGAGTATTACTCAGCAGTAAAAAACAAGGACTTCTTGAATTTTGCATACAAATGGATGGAAATAGAAAACACTATCCTGAGTGAGGTAAGCCAGACCCAAAAAGAGGAACATGGGATGTACTCACTCATATTTGGTTTCTAGCCATAAATAAAGGACATTGAGCTTATAATTCATGTTCCTAGAGAAGCTAAATAAGGCGAATCCAAAGACAAACACATAGGCATCCTCAGGAATATTAACCTTCATCAGGCGATGAAAGGAGACAGAGACAGAGACCCACACGGGAGCACCGGACAGAAATCTCAAGGTCCAAATCAGGAGCAGAAGGAGACGGAGCACGAGCAAGGAACTCAGGACCACAAGGGGTGCACCCACACACTAAGACAATGGGGATGTTCTATTGGGATCTCACCAAGGCCAGCTGGCCTAGGTCTGAAAAAGCATGGGATAAATCCGGACTAGCTGAACATAGCAGACAATGAGGAATACTGAGAACTCAAGAACAATTGCAGTGGGTTTTTGATCCTACTGCACGTACTGGCTTTGTGGGAGCCTAGGCAGTTTGAATGCTCACCTTAGGAGACCTGGATAGAGGTGGGCAGTCCTTGGGCTTCCCACAGGTCAGGGAACCCTGATTGCTCTTCGAGCAGATGGGGGGGGGGACTTGATCGGGGGAGGGAAATGGGAAGCGGTTGTGGGGACGAGGCAGAAATCCTTAATAAATAAATAAATTAAAAAAAAAAAGAAAGACAGAGGAGTGGGGTTGGGGGTGTTTGTTTTGTTTTTAATTACTTTGGGGGTGTTATTTTAGGGGACATGCTTCAGGGGTGAGGGGTGGATATGGAGGGACTGGGAGGTGAGAAGGATTGGGGTAAATGATGTAAAATTCACAAAGAATTAATAAAGAATTATGCTTTGTTTTGTTTTTTTAAAAGAAGTCAAATGCCTTGCCTATAATCCCAACATCAAGGAAGCAGATACAAGAGGATCCCTGAGGCTTGCGTAGCAGCCAGTTTCAAGGACTCTGTGAGCTCCAGGCTTAATGAGAAATCCTGTCTGAAAAGCAAGGTAGAAAGTGAACGGAGAGACATCTGACATTGCCCTAACTTCCAGACTCACAAGCACACACACACACACACACACACACACACACACACACACAGATGAAATAAAGAGTTCCATCAATAAATGCATCATTTGGGGGGAGAAGGGTGGGAGGAGGGGGAGAAGGGTGGGAGGAGGGGAAGGGAAATGGGAGGCTGGGAGGAGGTGGAAACTTGTTTTTTGTTTATGTTTTTTTTCTTTTCGCAATAAAAAAATTAAAAAAAAATAAATGCATCATTTGCACACAAAAAAATCCTTTCCAGGAAGAATGAAAATCCCTCTCTCTCCCCTCCCATCAGCCAACAAAGAAAGCAGAATGTAAGCAGCTGAAGTTTGGTGAACACCTGACTAAACAAGAGTGGAAAACTGGAACCACTTAAGAGAAGCCCAACCTGTACGGGTCAGGTTCAACAGAAACCCAGCAAGGAGTCGTTTATTTAGATTTGGTATTTTAAAATGTATTTACGTTGTGCTAGGTGAAGACCTTAAAAATCTGTGCTGCAAATGCTATTTGACATATTACAATGCAGCGGCTACAAACAGCTTTCATTTGCATCACAATGTGGTAGAAACAAAGGAAAACGAATTTCTTTCTGGATTAAGAAAGACATAAAGGAAGCTTCTATATAAGAATCTTATTTGAGTTAAGGCTGTTACCAAGGAAATTTAAGGCATAGCCAAAGAAACTTTATAGATATTTATAAAGATATAAATATATAGAATGCTTTATATTAGTATGCATTTTCTTCATGATATAAGCAACAGAAATTTTCAAATCTATTTTTTTCACTATATACAGTGACATTGAAAAGCTCGTCAGTTCCTCTTTGAATATTAAAATACTCACTCTTGCACAGTAGTAGCATGATTCAGTGTTTAGACTACCAACTCTTGAAGATTCAGAAATGTAAGATCAAAAACAGTACATCTTAAGCAAACATTTTCTTTATTTGAAATTTTTTATTCATTTTACATACCAGCCAGAATTCTCCCTTCCTCCCCTCCCTCCCACCTCCTCATCCACTCCTCAAAAAGGGTAAGGCCTCCCATGGGGAGTCAACAAAGCCTGGCCCATTAAGGTGAGGCAGGACCAGCCCCTCCTCCCTGCATAGAGGCTGAGTAAGGCATCCCACCACAGGGAAAGGGCTCCAAAAAGCCAATTAAGCAGACATTTTTTAAAATTATATTTGAATACATTTATGGTATTAAAAGGAAGTTTCTTCATAAACCATCACAGAAATACTCCAGTCAACTTCATGAAGTAGAGTCTCATACTCTGTCCCTGACAGTGTTAGCAAACTCTCAAATCAATCCAGCTGTAGCATATAAAATTTTCAGTGAAAATAAAATACAATTCACTGTACAGGAAAGCAAAAGTTTTGCTGTTAAAACATCACAGAATGTAGATGACTGACAAATTAGTCAAAATGTTACTAAATTACACTTACCAATCCACCCTCATATCATACATAAAACACCCCAAGCAATTAGAAAGCACTTATTAGAGTAATGGGTTTTAGAGACCCAATAGAACGCAAAACTGAGGTTGCTTTGGGATCACAAAGGATCTGCACACAGCAGGGCTACAGGATGCTGGAGTTGAGCGTCCTCTAAAATGTTAAACTAGGGGAAAACACCAGGCAAATCATCCAAAATGAAATAGGAAGCATCAACATTTTAACCCTTTTCCACCTATTATTATTTCCTCTAAATTGGGAAGCTACTTTCTAACTATATGTGTTTTCAAGCTATAGCAATTACAGTTTTAAGCCAGGCCTGTTATCCCAGGCTTAAGCAAGTGGTTGCTAGAGAGTAAGTTCAAAGCCAGCATCTATAACCTAGGGAGAGTATCTTAAGAAAAAGGAAGGAAGGAAAGAAGGAAGGAAGGAAGGAAGGAAGGAAGAAGTTTGAAGAGTTGGGGATATAGGGCAGGTGTGAAATGCAAGAGGCCCTAAGGTTCCCCAGCATAGAGCAGCAGGCGTAGTAGTAGATGGATGATTTGATTGCAGTTCTTGATGGTGTGGTGGTTCAAGCTTGAAATCCCAGCACTCAAGAGGCTGAGGCAGGTAGAAGAACTGCCAGTTCAAGGCCAGCCTGGGCTACACGGGGTGACTCTATGCAAAAAAAAAAATGTTTACACTTCTGAGCCAGCAGGTAAAGGCTGCCACCAAACCTGACCATCTGAGTTCAATCTTCAGAACCTATGTGGTGAAAAGAACTGACTCTCTAAAGGGATCTTCTGATCTCTATATTTATGCATGCATGTACGAGTATGTATGTGTGTGCGTGTATGTGTACACATAAGTAAATGAATAAATAAATAAACATTGTAAATAAGTAAATCCTTTAAAAATTTGCCATCTATTTAGGGTAAAAGTCATTTAGTGCTCCGTGCCTAGCCTACAAACTGAGTGACCTGGAGGCAACTTCAATTTGTGCCCTGTTACTCTACCACAGCCTCAGTATGATCATCTTAACAGGGCCAGTAGAAGGGCCTACTTCTTGTGTTTCTGCTTTTTGTTTTTCAGGAGTCTTTACGGTCTCCAACTCCCGAGCTCAGGTGATCCTTCCATCTCAGAATGTTGCACCCAGATATGATGGCACATACCTATAGTACCAGTGCGTTACTTTTAAATATTTTTATGAGCCATAAGCTTATGATGTTTTCTGCTTTTTATTCACCTAAGAGTTTTGGACAGCTGGAACCGTCAGAAACAATTTTATTTCATATTACTCTTTTTAAAGATACTCTAGTCCTAGTTGATCACTAAAAAAGTTATTTATTAAATGGAATGAAGCTAGTGTGATCCAATGTACTGAATAGTTGTCTTCATAATAATTTTAACTATCAAGAAGCCACCATTTTTGTTAAAAATTGTTGACAAGAAGGAAAAGGAAAAGAGAGAGAAAAAGGGGGCAGGGGTTGAAATGATATGAGGTGAGGTGTGTGTGTGTGTGTGTGTGTGTGTGTGTGTGTGTGTGTATGTATGTGTCCACACATTTTTTTATGTATATGAATTCTGGGGACTGAATGCGGGTCCTCATGCTGCTATAGGAATTCCTACTGCCAGTAGCCTTTAAGTTACCCGCCCACTTAGGCGTGGCCTCTTATACTATTTATGCCAATGTAAGGCACAAGTCAGGCCTCTTTTCGGCTGTGGGATTTGTTTGCTGTTCCCCATTCCAGCAGAGGATTGTAATCTGTGAGTCTACCCCTAAATAAATAACCCTCTATTATACTCAATTCTGAGCTAGCGTGGGACTTCTTTTAAGAGTCCTTCTTCTCTCTGAGCATGGCGAACAATGAGGGCTAATGAGAAGCCAAGGACAAAGGCATGGGGTTTTGAACCTACATAATGTGCTGGCTTTGTGGGAGCCTAGCCAGTTTGGATGTTCACCTTCCTAGAAATGGATGGAGAGGGGAGGATCTAGGACTTACCACAGGGCAGGGAACCCGGACTGCTCTTTGGACTGGAGAGGGATGGGGAGAGGAGTGGGGGGAGGGGGAGAAGGGTGGGAGGAGGGGGAGAAGGGTGGGAGGAGGGGGAGGGAAATGGGAGGCTGGGAGGAGGTGGAAACTTGTTTTTTTTTCTCCTTTTCTCAATAAAAAAAAAGAGACCTTCTTCATCATGCTTACATGGCAAGCACTTTATCAATGGAGCTATCTCCGCAGTTCAATTATTTTTAGACATTAGCATTGATTATCCTAACCAATTTATGAGGTTATTTTAAATCTTAGCGTCATGTTCACAGCTGTAATCCTATCACTTTGGAGGTATCACTTTCAGGAGTTCAAGGACATCCTCAGCAATATAACAAATTCTGGGCTACATGAGAACATGTCTCAAAAATGAAAAGCTAATTTTAAATCAACTAAGCTTACATTGATGGACTATGGGCAGTTAATGGGTTCTGGGAAAGGGGTGTCATTTTTTTAGCAGTATAGTCATTAATAAGTTGCCCATGTTCCAGTAAATACCCATTTGCTCATGCAAGTGGGCATAATTAAACTCACTGGGTCTAAATTGTAGAGTAAAGCAGGAAAGGGCTTCCTGAGGTGGTGGGAAAAACTCTTAGTATGGTCATAATACCTTTTAGAATCTGGAAAAAGCTACAAAAACTCTTTACATAAAAATACATATACATATATATAGAGAAACACATATAATTTTATAATTTCATAAGCTTCCAGGTGGCTCTGAAATGTATTTATATGGTAGTTATAGATTCCTACTTTGGGTTGGAGGACTTAGGTCTTGAATTAGTGATAAAACATGCTCATCATAAATAAAGCCCTGAGCTCCAACTCAGCACCACACACACAGAAAAAGAATTTCTACTTGAAACTGTATTCCATTTTCCCACATGCATCAAATCAAATAACTGTACTTGAATGTGACCCAGCACTACAATATTACCAAACTGAGCCACCAGTTACCTATTAGTGTGAACCAAGCACTGAGTTTATTCTACTTTCTACATTTGCTATTTCCATAATCCTCCACCCTCATTACTTGAGGCTCTGGAGCAGTGGATGAGTAGCAACATGGTGGTTTCTAAGGCCATCTGAGGGATGGGCTATGTACAAAGCAGGTATTATATACCGTCCTCTCTTCCAACAACAGGGGACCAAATGTTTCTCATCAAATTAAAGGAATCTTAAGATGACAGCTTTTGGAATACTTAGCACATGTCAGTGTTATTTTTAGTGACACTGACAATGGTTTTTAAATGTCAGAAATGTTTTCTTAAAGAAAAATCTTCATAGACATTGTACTCACTTTTACTCAACAACTCCCTGTCACTTACTGGATTATGGAAGTCATATGCCTGGAATTTTAATGGCTTTTCAAATTGTACATAGAATAATACTACATGACAATGATTTTCAGAGTGGGAATCTCAAAGAACTAAACAAAAGAAGCTTGGGAAACAATCTCTGGATCTCATGTGGGCCCAGAAACAGTTCATTTTTGCCACCAGCTAGAATGGAAAATCTAAATATGCACAAAGATTTTATACGGTGAATAACAGGGGAAAATATGCTACAAGGAGCTCAGGATCTGCCCAGCAAACCCTAAAAACAAATCTTATTAGGATCAAATTATTCACAAGTAATTGTATTGTGTCTCAGAACAAAACTCAAGAATGTTAATAATAAGAGAAACAATAGCACCTTGCCTAATTAAATTCACATCTGGCACATAAGAACAACTATTAGATATTCAAAGAAGTCACAAAAATAAAACTAATAAAGATGAATCAATTGATTTGCAAAAAAAGCACCAAAGTTATTATATAATCTCTAGATGGAAGAAGAAAATATAATCACATTAAGGAGAAACGTGGAAAATAAAATACTGAACTTCGAGAGTTCAAAAATCACAGATATGAAACATGCTAGATGTGTAGAGCTGCATAAAGATGTTCAGTGAATTTTATCACATAGAAGGTGCTAGTTTAAAACTATACAACAGAAAAAAGAAAAGAATCATCACTGAGCTATGTGATATCTTCAAGTTCCTTACTAGAAGACACCATGTACTTCAGACACAGAACCCAGAGACACCTGAGCTTGAACTGGCCCAAAAGCCTCCTTCCCGAGAACTAGCGTTCGTGGTACCAGAAGGTGCCATGCAAGTTTCCAAAGAAGGGAATCAACTAACAATCCTACCCAGTGATGATGCCTATGAACTACAACAACCACCAGCACGGCACCATAACCTTAAGGGTAAAGTGACACGAATACATGGGTAGTAACCAACAGCTCTATAACTGGACTTCAGAGCTGCTCAGCAAAAGGGAAATCATGCCTAATACTGGAGATCTAGTCAATAACACGGAGTGAGTGAAGTCATGGATCTTGGAGGATAGCCAGTGTTTTTACTAAACCAGCATAATCCCCTAACTACATTCTACGTATTTGTCCTTCAACCGACAGATGAGTGTAGCTCTCATCCCACATCAAGGAAACTTGTCATTGCAACAACAAGATCATTAGAGAAAACCACAACAAAACAAAATGCTGAGTTGTAGAGACCAGCCCCAGCTGATAGAGTTACATAACAACTCCAATGTAAGACTCAGAGAACATTATGAAAGAGGGGATAGGAAAATCATAGGCGCCATAGGTAGAAGGCATTTGTTTGTGAACCTGTGTCTCCCTGTAAAGTCTCTCCTTTATGATTGCCTAAACCTGAACTGAACAAGGGTGACACCCATGGACATGTTAACATGAAAGAGGGAAAGTTCATGATGATTCAACTCTAGGCAAATAACTACAAGCTACTAAGGGATGCTGAGAGTGAGAGAAATGAAAGAAACTATAGACCAGAGAAAATCAGGGAAAGAGACAGTAAAGAAAAGCTTTCCTGTGGTAGAAAGAAAATCCAATTACTTCCAGGGCTGCGGGTGTAGCTCAGCAGTAGAACATATGCATGATGCTCAGGGTTCAGTCTCCAGTAATATCAACCATGCCATCAAATGCACCAAAGATGATGAAAAAAACAAAACCTTTTTATCATCAAGATTGCAACAATCAAGATAGGAATTAGTAGAGGCTAAACTGCTAACTATAATACTTACGGATAGACAACTTAACAAAGACATGAGGGGAAATGACAATGAAAACGAGCTTTGCTAAAACTGTGTCATCCAGTCAGGGTTGTGTGCTATGTCCTCTGAAGAATGACATCATATGTTTTAAATTGCAGTAGAAAAAGACTTCACTAAAATAGTTTAGCTGAGTTTTAAAACTACAAAACACGTATTTTGTTTAAAAGGCCCTAATGCAGGGAGATAAGTACCCAGAGTGTCAAAAATATATTATCTGAAATGTCAAATCTTCAATATAAAAATATTAAACAGATAAGGATGCAGGAAAGTGTAAACAATCAAACAGGAGATTGGGCAACAGAAGTGGCCTATGAGAGGGCTTAGAGGTCAGATTTAACAAAGACTTCTGAGCATCTGTAATGATATCTATAATATAGTTGAAGAATTAAAGAAACCTATGTGTAACGTAATGAGTATGATATCAGAATTACTAAGTGAAATCAATGGAACAGAAATTAGAAAACGAAAGCTCACATTGAAAAGTATAAAAATTGAAATGAAAGCTTTCCTGAGATGCTTGACAATCAGTCTGAGCTGTAAGAGAAAAGACTCAATGAAGTTGCTGACAGAGATTATGTGAGTGAAAGATTAGAGATGGAAAAAAATGAGAAAAGTAAGAATTCACATGAACGTGGAGATCATTAAGTGCACTAACTTATATGGAACACACACACCAGGAGTGGAAAGAAGGAAAGCAGAAAAACTGTACAAACAATGGCTGGAAACTCCCAAGACTTAGCTAGAAGATGGAAGCTATAGACAGAATAGTGCTTACTCACAAACTGATGATATTTCTGTTCTCATTTTATGTAGGATTTCTAGAAGCCACCAGTCCAAACTGCAAACAAACTTGGAACTTGTGTAGGAAACGTGGCACTGCTGCTAAATATCACAAGGAAGATGAATAAGTTATAGATAACTGAGGCAAAACAGTTGAGACAACAAACTATCTGAAACCTGGGCAGAAACTAGGGGAAATGGTTTGGAAAATTAAAATAT